CCCCCCCCCCCCCCCCCCCCCCCCCCCCCCCCCCCCCCCCTCCCGTCCCGCAGGAGCATCGATAGAAGGAGCTGCCGATAGTCTTGCTGTCGGGTACTTAACGTTTGCACGTGCTGTTATTCGGGTTTCTCCCGAATATATCGGCCTCGTATAAAATGTGAATACGCAGGGTTTTATCTTTTTCTTATAAAGTTGTCCTTTTTTTGTTGTAAATTTTGACTTTCGGTTTCTAGGATTGGCGCTGATGCCATTCGTGGGTAAGAGGAAATCAGTTGATGAAGCGGCGAAGTTGGAACGTTTTAAAGCAGAAGCCGATACGCTCTATAACGTTTATTTGATCGAAAATGCTTACAACGTTTTACGGAGGTACCATTAATTCGATATTGCAAGGGAACTTTGTCTGGAATACTTGGAACAGCTATCTGTCCATAGCATGGTTCTGAGCCTACACAGCTAGCCGCTTTTATAGTTAGTTTTATTAATGCTGCATTACCTTCTGGTCAGCCTACTGACTTTCGTTCCGTTTCCTGAAAGGATTACCAACTCGAAGGGTTTTCCGACAAAAGCACCTGGAGGGGTTTTATCTAATTCGGCATATACCCGGTGTGAGTGGGGCAACACTACCTCATCCCGAATCCCTTTGGGCAAATTTGAAAACTCAAAAGTTTAGGTCCGCATCATTGCTGATAGCATCAAGCCCACTGCGCTAAAGTGTTGTCAACTAATAGCGCATTTTGCCAGTAGCAACCAAATTCAGCAACAAAATTGGCAGTAGCAATTTTTGTTGCTGAATTTTTCTAATGTTTAATGGTAAAAACGAAATAATTAACACCTTTGTATCAGACGGAGCCGCAGGATACCTTTGGTCAAATTTTAAAATTCCAAACTTTGGGTTTGCACCACTGCTCATAACATCAATTTTGCAGCAGTATTTTTAATTACTTTGATACTTTAATCAGCTGGTGTTTCGTCGCATTTCTTTGGGCAATTGATGCAGCTGGTAACTTTTCCATCCCTCTTTTTGGGCCACTCACTCATATGATTCCATATAGCCGTTCAAGTGAAACGTTCCATCACGTTGGAGATCTCAGTGATGTTGTGTGTTTTACTTTCACTGGAGATGCACAAAGTGCGCCTGAGAAAAACTCTTTGTTGGGCAAAATTTTGAGCGTTTTTTTTTTTTTTGCAGATTTGCGTCTGGAAACGATCCACAGATGCTTTGGCGATTAGCGCGGATATTGTGCGAAAAAGCGAAATTATCCAGGGTATTCAAAAAATGATTAGATTTTCTTATAAATCACTTTTTTGGAGTTCTCAGGTGGTGCCTAAATACTTCGTAGATGCCCAAGTTTGTGGATGCCTGAAAAATTAGAGACATTTGGTTTCGAAATATTGTAAGGTTTTTTTTTTTTTTGGAATACTGCCTGTATTTTTTTCAGGATAAGGAGGATAAGAGGCGTTTTCTAT